GGGCTTTAACGTGTTCGTTTCGGGGCTTAGCTTAGCTTTATGGCATGGCTTCAGGGCTTACGGGGCGTGGAGCTACGTTTTCGTGCTGTTCGGCTTCAGTTTTTGGATAGAACCACCATACCGACAGGCCCATCCTAATTCAGGAAGATATGAAGTGGCTTATGGCTAGTATCCTTTAAGCAGAACCTCCTGACTTCTGTTCCAGAGAGTCTTCGAGCTCGGGTGTAATATGGGACTGTAGCAGGATTGAAAGGAGATAAGCTTTTGAATCCCACAGACCTTCAAAAGCCCACAGCCCCCCTCAGACTGAACAAAATTGATATGGGAGTTTCCGAAAATGAAGGGGTACCTTCTTTGGGGTCCTTATAATAAGGATCCTACTATTTTATAGGGTACCATATTAGGGTCCCCTATTTGCGGAAACTCCCATGTACTGACCTATACACCCGAAGATGGGGTTTGCACATGAGGGCGGGACCCTAAATCCTAAACCCTAAAACCCTAAACCCTAAACGCCTAAAACCCTAAACCCCTAAACCCTAAAACCCGAAACCCCTAATACCCTAAACCCCTAAAACCCTAAACCCCTAAATCCGAAAAAGAAAAACCGTCCGACTGGGCCAGGGCACTGCTGTAGGATTGACATCTGCCTGAGCATCCGAAGGTGTTTTGGGTCTACTTAGTTGCTGAGTTCATAAGCCCCAAAAAGTGTGCACTTTCAGTCTTATCTAAGCTTAGGCCTTCCATCCGGGTCTGAGGGGTGCTAGTGCGATTTTGGGTTGATTTAGGGTCTACCCCGAGGCTCCAAAGTAGTTCCGTTTTGGGGTTACCTTATAGGATCCTAATTATGAACCCTAAAGAGGAACTACTATGGAGCCTCAGGGTAGTCGAAAGCCTAGACCTGCAAACCTTAGCCCTCAAACCTTATAAGCGATACGTTTTGTCAATTTTCCCCAAGGGTCCATGTACCCATATAGCATATACCTTGGGCCCAATGTACCCATATAAGGAGTACTTTAAGGCCAATGTATATACTATATGAGTACATGGACCCTTAGGGTTTGTTAAAGCGAAGTGGAGCGGAATCTTGGAGTTGACAAGACATACAATGCAATACCATACCCCATCCTACTCCACCGTACCATACCATACCATGAGATAAGCCATATTCATATCATACCATACCATGCATACGTACATACATACACTCAGCCGACAAACAAACAAAGCACGCACACACGCACGCGCACACAGACACACACACACACACACATGCACAAACACACGTGCATAAACCACCATCAACCCTAAGCAGCAAAGCGCACACGATCTGGGAACCTTGTACTTTGACCGTCATGGGCTTGTCCGTGCACCAGAACGCAGAAACCGGGTGTGCTCCCCTAGCTAAGATGGAATCCTGAGAGACATCGTCCAAAAAGGGCCCGCTCTTCAGGGGGCCTATCTTGGGATCAGGCTGAAGCGCATCAAGTTTCCCACAGCCTTCGTGCACACGAAGCACCGAGAAGAAGTAAATTACGATTCTAAAGCCCGGAAGCCTCACCCTTAGATGAGCACGTGCAGCTGGTCGCTAATTGAACCAAGAGCCAGCACAAAAAAAGACGTCATGCGGAAGCTTAGGAATCCAATGCCCGCAACCCTAAATACGAAACCCCAATAGAAGCCTGAAGGCAGCTGTCAAACCAAGTGAGGTTCGGAACCTCGAGTCGAAAAGAAGGCATTGAAAAGCCTAAACCCTAAACCGGAAACCCTAAAGCCCCAAACCCTAAGCCACAAAAACCCTAAAGCCCTAAATCCTCCAAAAAACCCAAAACCAACGCCCTTAAAGGGCTCGAAAACACGCGAAGGAGCCGACTCCCCGGCTCCAGGCAGCACATCAGTCCATTCCTGCGGAGGAGCTTCAAGGATTCCAAGATCAAAGGGGAAAGGGAGGGACCCTTTAAAGGGATCTATAGGGATTCTATAAGGGTATAGGGTTTAGGGGTTTGGGGGTTTAGGGGAAAAGGAGGGGCCCTTAACGGGGACCCCGACCCTATAATGGGCTATATAGTGGGTATATAATAGCTATATTAAGGGTATATACCTAAGGGTCCTTATTAAGGGTCCCTCCTTCTACCCTTGGACAAGAGGGTCCCATAACGCAGAGGCCTGAATAGATTGGAATAGGGGTTTATAGGGTTTAGGGCTTAGGTTTAGGCCTGAACAAATTAGACTAGGGTTCCGTTCGGAGGGATCCTGATCTAAAAGGGATACTGGAAGGGTTTCTGGGGGGCCTTAATAAGTAGAAGCGGGTTTTGGTATGCCATAAGTCGCAACAGGAGCCCTCAGGAACTGCTTAGTATTGGCAACCCATGAGGCTTCTAGATCCAGTATTGGTTATGTACCAACTCCAACTATGGAAACAGGCACTGACAGACGATCCCTACTATGGTTTGGGGGCCTAATTCTAAACACTGTCTAAACACAGTCGCACTCTTGGTGCCAGGACATCCGATATGGCTCCAAACACCCAAAACCTCGGAACCTCATAGATATAATAAAACCTAGTCGCTGCATCCTCATAGATCCTACCCCCGGGCCCAATTCCTGACACGCCCAAACTCTGGCCCGATTGATGCATGTAGATTTCTCCCCGAGACCTAAAACTAAACCTGCAAACCCTAGACCCCAAGCCCCCACGCCAAACCCTTCAAAGCCTATAAGCCCTAGGCCATCAATCGTATAGCCGAAACTCTAAAGCCTAACGCCACGTCCTTGGCTACACCGCCTCGGAATTTACTTCCGCAACCCTTACACCGCCACGGGCTCTGAACGGAGGCTTTACCGGGATTAGGGTATAGGGATTTGGGCTTAGGCTTCATGGAATTTAGGCCGCAGTGTTTAAGAGGTTGGGGTTTGGTTGACATAGAGGCTTAGGTTTAGGCTTTCGCATAAATTGGGTTTCCGGTTTAAACGGCTTTGTGGGTTTCGCGTTGCGTGGTTTTAGGCTTTTGCATTTACTGGTTTTGGGCTTGGTAGGGCTGTACTTATGGGCTCATGGCTACGCGAGTTTAGGGTTTAGGGCTTTGGGTTTCGGGGTTTAGGGGTTAGGCCAGGCTTGATGGGTGTTAGGGGCTGGAGCGGCCTCAGAGGAGCTTACCTTGACCACATGGCTTCATACTTAGTCAAAGGGGAAAAGGAGGGACCCTTGATGGGGACCCCTACCCTATAATGGGCTATATAATGGGTATACGTATAATAGCTAGATTAAGGGTATATACCTAGGGGTCCTTGTTAATTAATGGTCCCTCCTTTTACCCTTGGACTTAGAGTTCCTTGGAAGCGTACCATAAGCGTGTTCTGAGGGTAGTCAGGGGTTCAGAGTTGTCGTTCATGCCGCATGCTATCGTTGTTGAACCCGCTACCAGCAGCATGATAGAGGGTGCCCCGTTTCCTGTCTGTCACCCCAGACTAACCTACCCTTTTCAGGCCTTATATAAGGAAATCGTATTGAGGAATCCTTGAAAAGACTGGGTTTCTTAGGATTCAGGTGAAATCTCACCTCAAATCCCCAAGCCCTCCTCGAACCCTAAACCCCCTTAACCCCCTAAACCCTTAACCCGTAAACTACCCCTAACCCTAAAATGTGTCTGTCGGGCAGTCCAGCAGACGTATGCCAACACCGCCGCAGCGACCATACCCATAAAGGCTGCGAGCGCGAGGACCAGACCTCGCGTGAAACTGCCGAGGGTTTAGGGGTTTGGGGGGTTTAGGGTTAGGGTTTGGGGTTTAAAACTTGGGTTTGGGGGTGTAAGGTTTAGGGTTTGGGGGTTTAGGGTTTAGGGGTATAGGAATTGGGGGTTTACAGTTTAGGGTTGTGGGTTTGGGGGTTTAGGGTTTAGGGTTTGGGGGTTTAGGGGTTTAGGGGTTTAGGGTTTAGGGTTTGGGGGTTTAGGGTTCAGGGCTTAGGGTTTCGCGGGTTTAAGGTTCAGGGTTTATATGGGGTTTAGGGTTAGGGGTTTAGGGAAAATAGGGTCTATGGGCGTGGGCTCCAAACCCGTAGACGCTGACGCACAAAATCTATCGAAGCTGCCCAGACCTTCCAAAATCCCTTAATTAAGGATTATACCTTAGATCATATCAGGGATCTTACTATGATTTAAGGTATATTCCTTAATTAAGGGATTTTGGAAGGTCTGGGTGTAGAACTTATGGCTCTGCAGATTAGGGTATATAGTTGTCAAAATTATGATCCCTTTTTGGGTACCCTAAATATTAGGTGCCGTACAATATCAGGGGCCCAAAAAGGGACCATAATTTTGACAACAACCCGTTTGGAAAACCCGGCACGCGTTAGTCTGAAGCACATCTCGTGACGTCGTGCATGCCAGGGGCCGGCGAGGATCAACGTCATGCTGCCGGCCGCCGCGTGCAGTGGATCGCTCGTGTGGATTAAAGACTAGAAGGAAGGCCAGGAAGCCTTGAAACAAGCCTGGAGAAGCATTGAAAGGCGGAATCTGTCTGGACATCAGAATCTGCCTGATTTCCAAAACTAGAACACTCGAGCAGACGATCCTCACACTGCTGCCGGCGGCACATGCACGAACGGCCGATACTTTTGCAGCTGGAAGCTTCAACCAAGTCAGGCTCTAAGCAAGAGGTTGCACACTCTAAACATCTAAACCGTAAGCCCAAAGTCAAGCTAACCCTAAGCCCGAAACTGCCCCCCGGCTTTTCTCATCTGTTTGAGAGCTTGTGAAGCCCAGTCGTTGCGCAACGCTTGCGCAGTTTGCTGGCATCTCTTGTTGACATGGGCCGGGGTAGTGCATTCACATGCTTGTGAGGAATCGACAAAGGACTGGCTACAAACACCTGCCTCTCGGCGTAACGCTACCAGCCACTTAGTAGTACTATGCCGCTGCCCTTGTAAGCATGTAGCGTCACATTCCCCGAAGCTCTGGTCGAGCTTCTGCGAGTTGATCTGGTGAGACAGTGTGGCAGGCTCACTTTGAGCCCAATGCCTTGTCATCTGCCTCGGTGCGCTCGAAGTATTGCTTGGAAGGCTGAGAACAGGGACTTGAATACTTAGAACGGGATTTGGGGAATACATTGTAACTTCAATATGGGTAGTTGTCAAACTTATGGTCTCTTTTTGGGTACCCTCTATGTTTTTCAGGAAATATTAGGTGCCGAATTATAACAAGGACCCAACAAGGGACCATAATTTTGACAACCACCCATGTAAAGATGTGGCGAACAAAAGTGGATAAGTTTGGGACTTCCCCAGACCCCTATAATAGAAAGCGTAGTGCTGTGGTCCACGCCTGAAGGCTACTCCAGGCTTAGGTTTCTACATCCGACCGAGGATAGAAGGTGGTAGGTACCAGGCAGCAGGTCGTAGGCATAGGTCGTAGGAGGCAAGTACTAGGGAGTAGGTAGCAAGCAGCAAGTAGTAGTAGTAGTAGTAGTAGTAGTAGTAGTAGTAGTAGTAGTAGTAGTAGTAGTAGTAGTAGTAGTAGTAGTAGTAGTAGTAGTAGTAGTAGTAGTAGTAGTACAGTAGTAGCAGCAGCAGCAGCAGGTTCTGGTGCCTCCTGTCTGGCAAGGTCGTAACTAATCATAACTAGTACGCGACATAAAGTGTGTGTTTGCAGGGTAACGTAAGGCCACAGTCACACCAATGAAGCAAGGCACCGGAGTCTAAACCTGAACCACTGAGCCTCAAGCCGCAAAACCCTATGCGCCCCGCCTCCTTGGTGAGGTAAATCACAGTGTTTGGGTAGTCCGGATCGTTGGCGAGCACAGGCCGCGTTGGAGGCTCCTGCGGCTCAGGCCTGGCCAAAATCGCTCCCTGGAGCGGCTCAAAGGCCCGGATGCCCCTCTTCGGGGGGGGGCTGATCCCCAAAAGAGGTACTTGGAGGATCATGGGACTTAGTAACTAGGGTTACTATTAAGGTAACTAGACTTATAACTACCTCTAACCCCAATTAAGGCACTTATAACCAGACTAAGTCCCATGATCCTCCAAGTAGCTGGGGACTGCAAGAAAGGGTAGTTGCCGGGGCTGAGTTAGGGTTCAGGGTTAGGAGTTTCTGAAGGGGGATTTAGGCTTAGGGGTTCGAGTACTGTTCGTGGGTTGAACAATTTCCTCCAGTACCGTAGCACACCAAATTTCCGTCCACCACTATTCCCAAATGCGAACCTGCTTAAATGCATAAGCCTGCCAAGCAGTCTTGTCGAAGTCTGCCAGCCATCTTTGATGCACTACAGGTTTCAACATCTGGCATGCCTCATTCCAATCCGTCGGTGCTATGAGGTTGCTAAAGCCCCAAACCCACTCCAAGCCATAGCTCCAAAAGCCCACGACCAGAGCTCCGAACTTGAAACCCGAACCCACCGAAGAAAGGAACTCAGGGACTTCACACCAACTCTAAACCCAAAACATCTGGTAGCCTGACCAATTCTACCAGGGAGTGTAGGGGTCATTATACTGTATTCACGCCAAGCAACCCTGACTCATGCAACTAATTACTAAGTATTCAGGTGCCTGTAAAACCATGGCAGAATGGCAGACCCCATATACCTATGTAAATCACCTACAAAAAACCCTCTAAGAAAACTGACACAACCCATAAAATCTCCTGTTTCCTTCCTCCTATGACATTTTACACTACACGTAATTGTCTCCTCATTCAGACATCCTTACAAAAACCTCTTGAAAACCTGCGTTTTTCTTGGTTGCTGAGAAGCCCCAAGAAGTGCACACTCTCAGTTTTATAGTGGCTAATATTAATCCAAAAAGTGTGAAGTGTATCCACTCAGCTACTAAGTTTTTCGAGGATACCACACCAGCAGCGGTAAGCGCCTCTCTCTCTGCCTTGTCGCTGCATTGCCGGACGAGCAGCTGCTGTTGTCATAGCAGCTCTGAACTGGCGCGACAGGGCTCTACCCAGAGGCTCCAAAGTAGTTCCTTTTTGGGGTTACCTTATAGGATTCTAAATATGAACCCTAAAAAGGAACTACTATGGAGCCTCAGGGTAGACCCAAGAGTAACCCCTGGAATAAAAAGGATGCCCTTTTTGGTTTGAAAGGGGCTTACAAGGGAACCTGAACCCTAAAAAAAGGGAACAAGGGCCTACTCTAGGTCCTAGGGTTGCTTGTAAGGTTTAAAGGGCTTTAAAAAGGGGACGCGCAGGGTGGAAAGGAAGGTTTGTAGATTCTGAACTGAGGCGACGGGGCTACTTGTAAGGTTTGAAAGGAGCTTGTAAAGGGCCATGCAGAACGGAAAACAAGGCCTACAGTTCCTGCACAGAAACGAAGAGTCTAGTGTAGGGCCTATATGGATGTTTAGAGTATGCGGGTTGACGGTTTCAGGGGTTGATTAAAGATTACACCTAATTTCATGCCAAGAGTCATAACGATGTAGGGTTTAGGGCACGGATCTCTCTGGAGTTTACGGCATATTATTTCAACGACGGGAGGTTGGAGTCGCTGGAGAGCTTCAGGGGTGTTCCAGGTTTAGGGTCATCATAATAGGCTCTATACGGATTCATATACAGGTCCTGACCCTAAAGTAAAAGCCAGAAAGTTGGAATATGATTGTCCTAAACCCTTTATGGTAAGTTATAAGGTATCCTACCCTGAAAGCATTTTCCAACTTTCTGGAGTTCCCTTTAAACCCTGAGTCTTATCAGGGTTTGGCGTTTCCGTCCTTTGGTTTAGTGTCCCACTTCAATGCCTCCGGTCCGTAACGGAGGAGCCTTTCAGGTATCCTTGAGCTTTCAGAGAGCCACGGGATGTACAAGGTTTATGGCCCTAATCTTGGGTTTTAAGTCTTGCCATTTCAGGTCTTGCAGTTTATGTTAGGAGTTTCAGGTCAGCACCCTTTGGTTAGAAAGTAACCTACGTGTCTGAAAAACCCTAAACCCAAACACTTAAATCCGCTAAACCTTCAGCCGACACCCATGTGTTTCTGAACTCAGCAGCGGCATATTCCTCAAGGCAATCTTCGTGGCTTCAGGAATCAGGGTTTGGGGCCTACCTTACACTACCACCAGGAGCTTATGATAAGCCCCAGTCTTAAGATTCGCCGGGATAACACGACAAAAAAAGCAGGTTTTGCTAGCTCAAGGAACTAGTTCATGGTTGGGATACGATTACTAAAAATATAAATTTCTAGTCCTTATTGGTTTAAGTACGCAAAAAATGTAAAATGTTACCCAGCTATGACAAAGGGAAGGGGCCAGGGTTATTCACGGTTCCAGGGCCTCGGAAACCTGGAGATGCTGCCGACATGAGAGCGATGAATGTTGAAGACTGTGTAGGGTTTAGGGTGTAGGATTTAGGGGTTTTGGGGTTTAGGGGTTTAGGGCTTAGGGTTTTAGGGTTTAGGGTGTAGGGGTTTGGGGTTCAGGGTTTAGGGCATGTACAGTAGGCACTCCAAACGAAGAGCGCTTCCATGGCTGATGTGGCACGACAAAGTACACCCTGGAATGGAAGACACCTCAGACCAAAGCATGTAATATTGTTGTAAGCCCACAGTCCTGCACGGATACAGAGCAAGAGTATACCCCTGTAGGCCCTATCTACTTCATGAACTAAAGTACAGTAAACATCAAAGCCGTCTCCTCTGGATGAAGGCCCTAAACCCTAAACCCTTCAACAATTCAGGCCCCTACACTCAACCCTAGTAGTAATCCTCATAGAACCGCTTATAGATCCCCTTTCAAGGAACACTGTTCTGCACCCTGAAAATCCGAAACCATGAACCGAAACCCTACGCCCTATTCAGACCCCATTACAACAGCCTGTGGCCTGGCTGCACCTCTCTGGAGTTGCCCCAGTCCTGCAGGGAAGAGCCTTTTTATGGGGCTTCTAGGATTTATACGGTTTAAGGGCTGTTTGCTTAGGGTCTAAAGGTTTGGGACTCAGGATTTGAGATTTCAAGGCTTCTGAAAATCTCAATAATTTCTTTCATGTGTTTTCATCCAGATCTACAGGGCTGCTTAGGATATCTACGCGGTGTTTGTGGCTTCCTTAATTTCGAGGGATTTGTAGCCATAGCTTTAGCGGTTTAAAGGCTGTGGAGCTACGGGGCTGAATGATTACGGCCCGACCGTCTGGGAGGCCTAGGGTTGACCTTAGAAGTTTGCCGTCCGACGACTAGCTTTTTGGTTTAGGGGTTCGGGTTTGGGGTGAAGGGTCTAGGGTTTAGGGCGTTTGGGCTTAGGGTTGACCTCAGAAGTTTGCGGTCCGACATTAAAATCTTGGGTTTAAATGGGGGTTCGGGTTTGGGGTGTAGGGCCTGGGGTTTGGGCTTCGATTTTGGGGGAGCTCAGGGTCTCATACAGAGGCCCTGGTAACAAAACATCAGGGGGGTATAGATTCCAATGGAGGACCTATTGAGGTTTTCGAGTGCTGGGCTCTTGAAGCGACTAGCTGGAACATCCTAACCACAAGTGCGCAATTGAAAAACCTTAAACCCATAGCCCTGCAGTTTCACGGCTACTTAAATCTTGCCGCAACTCTGAAATCCCGGAGCAACATGGAGGCCTGAACAGCTACATCACACAAACCCTGCCAAATCATTCAAGCTTCGACCACACGACCCTACAACGGAAGAAGGAGCCTGAGGAGTAGCCTAAACCCTCCAACCCAAGCCGAGAAGGTACGTTGCTTAGACAAGGCCACTCACTGATAGTGACCACAATGGATCATTCATGATGATGATGATGATGTTAACTTAGTTAACTAAGGTTCCTCTGTCTTCATGTTTTTCCACTGTCACTGCGTGCGAGCCTAACTCAGTATACTCCTTACTAAACAGTAACCCTAGAAGGTATACTCCGTATGGGTTCTAAGTTCTAAAGCCCTAAAGCCCATGCACCAGAAAGCTCTTCACTTACCGACCAAATGACCCCCGACACTGCTAAAGCTGGCTTTAGATATAACCCTAAACCCCTAAACCCCTTAACCCCTAAACCCCTAAACCCTAAACCCCCTTTACCCTAAACACAAAACCCTAACCCCCCTAAGCCGAAACCCTGAAACCCTAAGTCCCTAAACTCCTTCCAGTAAACCCCCTTAAAGTTGAAAATTGGACTAAGGATGATTAAGGCCTAAACCCTGAACCCTAAAACCCGTGGCCTGAAACAAGGAGGCACCTGAACCCTTTTGGTTATATAGGGATTATATAGGGGCCAAACTACTCCAAAAGGGAGAGGGTTTAAGGGTTTTGGGTTTACAGTAAACCACATAAAGTTGGAAACGGGATGAAGGCCAGATACTGCTGGGATTCCCTATACATTACTCTTAAGGATTGAGGCTATGGGGTTTCCAACTTTTTGGCTTCTACTGCAAACCCCAATAAGCTCCCAAGCCCTAAGACCCCTAAACCCTGAACCCTAAGCCCCTAAACTCCTAAACCGTAAACCCAAAGCTCCTAAGCCCTAAGAATCCCTAAGACCCCTAAACCCTGAACTCGGCCTTGGAGGCGTTCTCGTTCACGCAATAGTGCTCCGGCCCAACTGAGGCGCCGAAGAGCTCGCGGAAGATCTGGGCGAAAGGTGTGGGGTTTAAGGTATATAGGGTTTAGGGTTCAGGGGTTTTGGGGATTAGGTTTTAAGATTAAGGGTTCTGGGTTTAAGATTTCGGGTTCTGGGTCTAGGACTTAGGGTTTAGGGTCTATGATTTAGGGTTTAGGGTTAGGGTTTAGGAGCGAAAGGTGCGGGGTTGATGCTGGGGGCTGAACTGTAGAGGTGTGCATACCCAGAGGCTCCAAAGAAGTTCCTTTTTGGGGTTACCTGATAGGATTCGAATTAAATATGAACCCTAAAAAGGAACTACTATGGAGCCTCAGGGTACCCATGCTATTCATATTCCTTGCTAGAACTTGTGGGGTGTACTGTTATAAGTACTGTACCCCAATTTTGTAATTGTGGAAAGCAGTTGATACGGGGAGGGCCTAAGTAGGGGGCTCTACGTAGCGGGTGCATTGTGCCTAGACCTACGTGGGGTCTCTAGCTGAAGGCACCCCCTATGTAGAGCCTACAGTAGGAGCCCAAAAGTTGGAAACCCCATAGCCTCAATCCTTAAGAGTAATGTATAAGGAATCCCAGCACTATTTGGCCTTAATCCGGTTTCCAACTTTATGGGATTTACTGTACAGTAGTGGGGTGCGCCAGATGCCCATGCAATGGTCTGAAATGGAATTTGAAGGCACGTGTAGACGTGGGTGCTTTCATTTTGGGACCCCATACAAAAAGCTGAAGCGGGACGGAGGGTCCTGCAGTAGACCCCCCAAGCCCGATGTTAACTTTTCTGAGCCCTACAGCACATCATGAATCAAGTCTCATGGTTTGTGGCGATATGAACCAGGTTGAGGGTTCAGGCTTCGGGGCTTTGGGGTTTGGGTTGGAGACTTTAGGGCGTCCTTGTTTAAACCTCCTTGTCTAAATCTGGGTTTCATGTGAAGGGATCTAAGTGACCGCCTTTCCAGCCTCCATTTCGCAAGTGCTGATGTCACGTTGGAGGGTTGGTTTCAGGCGTTTCGGGGCTGCAAACGGCTTACACCGGTGTTTGTTCATCTTCGTGTTGGTTGAGTTAGGAATAGGAGGATGGAGGTTGGTTCTTGGAGCTTGGTGGGGATCCAATTACACAGGCTTTACCCCCGAGTTTTCATCAACTCAGTGCCGGCTTCAATATTGGGGGGACTCTGGGCCTTTGGGGGGACTCTGAGCCTTTGGGGCCTGCTCAGGACGACCCTAAACCCTAAACCGGGGTCCCCGCCGAGCGATGCTTCAGGCATTTCTCGCCCGGGACAGCCCAGTAGCCCTTCTTCCTGCAGGTCTTAACCGGGTACCTTATTTTGGGTTTAGGGTTTACGGGGTCCTTATAATAAGGATCCTACTATTTAGGGTGCTATATTAGGCTCCCCTACTACAACCCTAAGCCCCAGAGCACGATCTGGAGTTCTGGACGTCATCTTCTGTTATTGTTTTCCTAAACCCGTGGTTATATTAGTCGGTGGAGGTCCCAACCCTGGAGGACGGTTGAAGCCTGGGGGTGTAGATCTCGGGTGTTGTGTGCTAACGTGGTGTAAGGTTTGCAGGGTAGCTGCCCTGTGGCAAGTAAGGGAAGGTCATGGCATCTCTTCGCAAATGGCAAATCACCGCCTTGGAATCAGAAGTGTGAACCAAAAAAGGAACTACAATGGAGACTATAGGTAGTGGCACTGAAACTGCCAGGTTCGGTATGGTGTGGCGACTCCATACGAGGCCTCGTTGCACCGGGCTTGCGCCGCAAGCTGTGCCTTCGCCTGAATCTGCTGTTCTTGCCATGTTGTCCACATGACAATACTGAATGGTATTCAGCACATCATGAAACCGAATGCAATAAAGCAGCCGCCTTCAGTTGCGCCGTCAACGCAGCCAAGGCTGCGGAGCCTGGGGCTCCTTGCATTGACATGCTCGTGAACAGCTCCTGGGCCTGCAAAGGCTGCATGATGGATCACACCTATAGTTTTGATTGTAGTTCCGTTTTTTGGTTATCCAGTTTTATCGCTAGGATCCTGTAATAGAGATTTTGGCTAACCAAAAAAGGAACTACAATGGAGACTATAGGCAGGCGATGCTCCAGTCGACGCGTGTGTGCGGCGTGGGCTTATATAAACCCACGTTCTCAGCGCACCGCAAGGCACGCACCCAAATAAACCCTTAGCCTAAGACTACCCAGATTGGCGCTTCGGTTGACTTCAGAGTCGGCCTGTATGAGTATCTGTGAGTATATCTCTTGGACGTCCTTGTTCTTTACTTGACAACAAGTATCGAGAAATGCAAAACCTGACTGTCGGTATTCTAGGAGCTCCCAAACCTAGAAGCCCTGATAAGGCGAGGCACAGTGCACCTAGCCTTGGGCAGGTTGTAAGAACTACACCAACTTCCAATACCCTCCCACACAAAATCCTGGGCAGACACACTCGAACTCCACACGACACGCTCCAATCTACTGCGCACCCTGAAACCTAAACCTTACATGGTTGTTCCTCGCGCTACTTGCAGACCAACCAGCCCAAAGCTTCATGAAGAGACGCAGCCCCCCAGTGCCCTTCGGGGCCCTTTAGGGTTCAGGGTTTATTAAGGTTTAGGGTTTATAGGGTCTGGGTTGCTCCTAACTAGCCCAGCAGCTTCAACCGAAGTACAACCGACAAGCAAAACCCTGAGACTTCCAACCTTAATGCCTCAGCCTTTCACCTGAGCAGCCCTTGAACCAAAACATAAGCCCAATGTTGCAAGCAAATCCCAAACCCCGAAGGCATCCCTTCAACCCGAAAGCTTTGCACAAATTCCCAAGTCATGCCTGGATAGGCTCGTTAATTAACCACAAACATAAAACAATGCTTTGACCCTTGCTTGTAGCACCTTTATTTTGGTAACCCAATTTCCCGACTGCAACCAAAAATAGCGGAGTCTACGTAAATAAATGACAACTGGAGCCTCCGGAACTCGCTGGGACTTTCGGTTTGGGAATTCTGCAGGCCAACAACATCGATTTCGCATAAATGCATAGGCCATAGGTTAGAGTTTGGGCTTTGGGGTTTTGGGGATTGGGTGACAGGATGGGGCCCAGCGTCCAAAGAGCAGCACCATATGGCAATCAAAAACATACCCTTCCTTTCAGGGCACCGAGGCTAGTAAACCCAAACATATAGAAACTCAAACAGCAGCTCTGAACCCTCAAAACCTAACCCCAAACCTTGCGGATTCAAACCCCTAATCCCGGCAGCCTATGACCCAAACTCTCCGACTCTCCGCCCTACTCCAGTCCGTGCTCCTGGGTTTGGTGACCCGGGTGCCGGGAACCGAAGGCGGGCCAGCCTGGGAGGGAGACGATGGGCTGCGAGGTTGCGAGAGAGAGAGAGAGAGAGAGAGATATATATATATATATACACATATACATATACATATGATTACATATGTATGTATATCTATATAAAGATATATATATATATATGTATATATATATATATATACACACATTTATATTTACATTTATATTCCAGTTGCTTGCTATTTACACCGATACCCGAGCTATTTTCTGATATACTTAATACTTTTGTTCTCATTGAAATTACCGTGTGATTCAAGTTCATTGCCATGACGATTAACAATTGTCACACAGTTTATGGCAAACACGAAAGCTATCGGCACTGGATTACTATGACAATATGGTTGTATGATTATTCATTATGGCTGCCAGCAGTCAATGACGTTTTCGCAGAAGTCTAAGCAAGTCTCATCTTGATGCGGCTTCCTTTTGTCGGTAGTGTATTTATACGTCTGTTGTCTTTCTTTGTGCGCTTCTTCCTGCTTCGCTTCACGGTAGTCGGCCTGGCCGTAGTCCTAGGTCTTCGGGTGAATGAGTTTGGGCCTTCGGCCAAGGGCTTCTTTGAGGGGGTTCCCTCTAGGGTTAAGGGTTTTGGCTCAGGGCTTAAGGCCAGGGTTTGCGTCTGCAAAGACGAGTTCAGACTCGGTCTTTTGGCTACGGAATGAAGGATTGGGACTAAAGGGTATGCTAAAGCATCTTGGTTGTAGTGAAGGCTGTTTGTAGGGATTGGGGTTTAGAGCACGGTTTTCGGGTTGAAGAGAAAGTGTACGCTGAGAGACGAGGACCCAGCCTGAGGAGTGGCTTCAAAACAACAACCCCTACGACTCTGTAATAATCTTCTCCTTGAGCCATCATAATCTTATTCGTCTACAGCTTCACTTGATTCACGGTGTAGTAGCACCTGGGGATTTGGCAGAGCATAGGCTATCCCACTTCAAATATTCCAAACCTACTTGGGCAACTTGCATAACCAACACGATTCACCAATTGGCTTCAGTTTAAGCTGCCAGCAACACTGGAAGCTAAGACAAAAAGAAAGAAGTTAAAAGCAAGAGCCGCGTTCTCGACATCACAATCGTCGCAGTACTAGAAGTACTGCAATGTAGGCAGCAGTTCTGCTATGTTGTGGCAACGGAACTTACCTCTACAAAGTGTATCACCTTCAAGAACAACAGTCCTGACCACAGCAACGAACCTCAAAATCACCGCGGGCATGGCTGTTTCAACCCTCAGAAGGTTTATCGGCAGTACTGCCGACAACCCCTAACAACCCGGAACCCGGAAGCATACCGTGTGCCCTCGGCCGAAGCATTCAAGAAATTTAAACCCTGGTGTTGTGCTACCAACACTACTACACTTGGCCCTGATGAGTCGTGTTTTGGCAATAATAAAGCCACAGGCCTGGGTACCAATGCCGTAGCGATCACCTGCGAGATGCTTGAGCAACATGACGGGTAGGATTGATCGCAGAAGCAGTTTGTGGATGTTCAGTCTAGTAGCGCTGTGTCTTCCATTCGTCGTCATCCCGTTGCTGCCGTCGTTGTAGTAGCGTATTAGTTTTGTACCGAAAACTAAGAGGTGAGAACTGTCAGCGCATCAGCAGCAACTGCAGAAGCATTGGCATTACGATCGTGGCTGTTCTCTTCTTGCGACTATATGTCTTACTATGAACTATGTTTAATGCTTCTAACCTCAGCATGGCTATTGTCATGGTTCTCATTTTTACCACCAGTCTTTTTTAATACTACCATTATCATGGTACTGTTATTACTGCTACTATTACTACCATAATGTTTCGAGATAATTATTATCATTGATACCATAACTGTTATTGGCATTGGCATTGTGGTTACTAGTATGACTCTTCTGCTTATGTTATTGTTATTTTACTGTTACTATTATCCCTGCAGCTACCGGGTTATTAGAGTTACTATGCCTCTAGCATTTTTCCTTTTTTTGATTCGCCTTACCATTGCTTTACTAATGATAAGATTATTGTTCTTCGTCTTTTCCTTATTACTACCAACTTCTATTACTATTCTTATGTTTAGTTTTGTTCTTACCCTTCATGTTGCTTTTAGCATCAAAATCCTGAAGATCATCATCACCATCATCTCCAAAGCCTTCCTCGCCATCATATTCAACATCTTATCAATCTTCCTCGTCGTCAACGCGGCCATCATCATCGTCACTATCGCATTTGCCGTTACAAGCCGTTACTCATGTATCGAGACAACGCAGTAGTCACAGTGCAAGCCCCGAGAGGGTCCACTGCTGAGGCCACAACCGCTGAACTGACACATCTCAACTCAACCCTAAACTGTCGGTCCGAAGGAGCACATAGACACAAAAACACAAAGAACTCCAGAACCCTTCACCATGGGCTTTCTAGCATGCTGTGGCCTGATACCGGGTCTCGAACCTAGTGGTCTGCAGCCCTCCCAAACCCTAGCATTTGAAAGCCTTCTGCCTTCTGCCGAAGGAACCCCAAACCTAGCAGGCCGGAAGGCAGCACTTCGATTCAACAAGCTTCTCCCGAAAAACCTGGGCACTAAAGCCCGGTGCTTTGAAGCCTGTCCACAAGCCCCAACTTCTCAGAACCCGACCCATTGAAAAGGACGAGGGTCTGGCTGTCCTCGTCTCCTCCCATGATTCCAAGGCTTAGTGTCTCGGCTTCCACTCAGGTCCTTCACAACTTGACAAACATCAATGTAGCAGTGCAACATTGCTGAACCTGGTTCTATGGTATATACTATATATACGTCTAGTTTCCAGGGGGCTTGTGCTGAGTCCTTGGTGAAAAGGGGGTTATGGGCAGCGCAGGCAACACAAAGCCTTCTTTCTTGGCTGCAGCGGGCATGTGCGGACTATTTTCGAACCTGTGTCTGATCGGCCTCAGCTGCTTGCTTTAAGACCCACTTGACGCCCCAGCCCACGGCAGCACCAAGAGGGATCAGTGCTGCTGCCGGTGGACATGAGACCACAGTTGTAGTGATGACTGTTGTCATAGTTCCCGTAGCGACAGGGCGGTAGCCAAACACGGTTGCAGTTGCGACGGATGTGCCGGTGACTGCCGTTGTGGTGGTCGTGGTTGTGAGAGCAGCTGCGGCAGCTGCCTTTGTGCCCAAAGAGGCTGCACCTGCCGCAGCACATTCTACTGCACGTTGATAATCGCCTTGTGCAGCTGCTACCAGGGCACCGCCCCTTCCTGGAGGGCCCACCGCATCGGCAACTTCCGCAAATTTCGCATCAGCCGCAGCCTCCAAGGGCTCGGCCGCGCCCTTGCCCACTTGAGCCACCTGCTTGCCTAACACCCTGGCTTCAGCGGTTTTTTTTGATTTTTTCTTTCACAACTTCGTTCTTGAAGAGCTTGTTCGTGTGATCAATGATGACCTCGGCATTCTTGCACAGCTGCTTCGAAGGAGACTTCCAAGAACCGAGTTCATTCCTGATTTCCTGCCCAACGCTCACCGGACCAAGTCCTGCACTGAGCTCGCCACTTGCATACAGTGATGCAAATGGCCTCAGCGTCGTATGCACTGGAAACCTGGACACATGTGTGACCGGCTGACTTCATGCTGCGACTTGCACGGGTTTGCCTTCACACCTGCACCGACCTCTGCTTTAGCTTGGGCTGAAAGGCCAGAACCATCGCGGTCAAGGCCAATGCCAGAAGGCTTGTGTTGATAAGAGAAGCGATCAGTTCCAAGCTGGATCTCGTGATCGCTAAGGCTGAGATCGGTGTGCACCCCACCGCCGCAGCGCATGTTGACCTTGAATTCGTTTGTTGACAAATTAATGCCCGCACCAACTCCGCGAGATGCACCAAGACCCACGGAAGCAACCTCCTCCCTGTCAGTGACAGTCTTGGAGGTGAATTTGCCGGTTGTCAATGCCTTGCGGGACCTTGCATAAGCCGCAAGTCGCTTGGCCATTTCGGCTACCTCTCTTATTTTGTGCTCGGACAGAGTGTGGTAGGTCCGAAACACGCAAGGCAGGTTGCAGTAATGGGATTGCCTGCCGCGGTTGCGCAAGCGAAGCATTCTGTCCGGCTGTCTTTACTACAATGCCCCGCTTACATGCTGCCGGCTGGTCGACGATGGATTCTGCAGTGACACTTGACAATTCTGTAATCTAGTATAGGCACATGTAGTATGTCATTTCCTGAGCCGGTCATAAGCAGGCTAAGCGAACAAAAAGCATCGTGTACGAGCGCATAGGATTTCCTGGAGAGCATCCTTTGCTGGGGTGAGACATGCAAGGTGTTGCCCTGATCTGCATTTTTGCTACTGTACGGATTCTGCTTCGGACAGCATGTCGGTAGTATTACTGGATAAGGTTCCGTAGCGGCTGGTCTTGAAGAAGCGCTTCTTGGGATCTTTGAACGAGTTGCCCTGCCTAGGCTGCCTGCTCTTAATGTTGTCGCTTCAAGCAGCCCTTGAGCGGCAGATCCAGTGCCCTCAGCCCGCTGTTGCTGGCATTCGAACTATTCAATCGGCAAAGGTCTTGCAAAACTACCTCAACGGCACGATCTGTGCAAGATGATGGACGAGGAACTGATGCTGATGAAAACTGCTTCAGTTGCAACATCAGACCAAAGGGAACTCATTCTGAGAACGGAACTCGAACGGACGCACGTGTCAGCGGATGAGTGATCTTCAGGGCCCAGGGTTGGCATCGGGAAGCCTGGAGCCTAAAGATGAACGCACTCACGAAACCCAGACCTTCCAAAATCCCTTAATTAAGGAATATACCTTAAATCATAGTAGGATCCCTAATATGATTTAAGGTATAATCCTTAATTAAGGGATTTTGGAAGGTCTGGGAACCCCTGTCCTTGCCGAGGAAAGCAGCCAGATCCTGGAACTAGGCTTCAATCAGCCCGCTGCAGGAAACAGCTTGTAGCTCTCTCCCTGTTTCTCTGAGGTCTAGGGCTCCAGGTTAGAAGCTACGGACGGAGGAGTTGCTGGCTCTGAATTGACATGTTCCCCGCCTCTGTTGCTTTGTCTCTTGCTGCTCGGCGTTTGATGCCTTTCCGTCTATTTCTCTGGCATGCGATCCACTGTGTTTGACTCGCTTCCAGCGATACGTTGTCCAGAGCTAGATCTTGCCTAACAACATTCGAGCTTTAGCTGGTCGAGATTCTGCAGGCTTCACGCCTTTGCAGCTTAGGTTCGTATTCATGGGGTTTCTGGAAGCTTTGCCACTGCAGTCTACCGGGCTTGCCGGCTCCGGGCTTGGGGGCACGAAGAGGGGTCGTTCATGCGGAGAAGGTACTCAGTGATTGTAGGGGAATCTTTCGGAGTAGTTTGGGAACTTGTGGATTACACGGTCATGCAAGTTTTTGGGACTCCCTCAAGTCATGATTCTTTGACCACAGACCCTAACCTAGTGATCGGCACGTGCTTGCACATGCCAAAGCCATCTTGCACCGACCCGCGAGTGGAGCCCTAAATCCCCAAAGTGGAGCCCTAAATCCCCAAAGTGGAGCCCTAAATCCCCAAACAATACCCTGACAGTAATCCTTGAGCACCCAAGCCTGGTTCCGCGCGAAGCGGCTGTGCGAAGCCGGCATCCCAAGCGGCCCTGGGTGGGAAATAGGGAGAGGTGCTGAAGTGACCTTCTCATGGCCCATTGTTTAGGCTTCGGGGAAGTGTCCCGTTAGCAAGCGCATGTGATGCCTTCGCACAGGGCTTTGTATAATGTGCAGGGATGCGGAAGGTGACCTCCTTGCCGAGGGCAATGGAGAGAGAGAGAGAGAGAGATGTAAGCCAGGAGCCTTGAATTCCATCACTCCAGCAGACACCCAGGTCGTTGCCTCTCCAGCATGCGGCTTAAGGTTATGGGAAAGTTAAGTGAAACTTAAGGGGGCTCCATGGGTTGAGGGTAGGAAGTTAGCAAAGCAATAAGCTCCAAATTCCAAGCCCTCCGAATGAATTACACCGAAGCCTCTTAAAGTCGCACCCCACCCTAGACCGCAACCCCTAAACCCCAAACCCCTCAGTCCTAAATCCTTAAACCGCCAGCGCGAAGTTCCGACTTTTGCTGCGCAACTGTGGACTGCTGGAGATACTGTTACAACAAACCCTCCAAGTTAGGCTTCAAGTGTAGGTCCTAGAGGTTTAGGGCCCAGGGCTGAGGGATCGCCAGGGATCCGGGTTCAGTTTTTGAAGCAGTTTACGGTCTACGGTGTTCACCCCAATCGCACCTGTAAGGCACCGGGATCCGAAGCCGCAGTGATTCGTGGCACCCCGGAACACTTGGGTGGGTGTCAAAATTAGGGTCCCTTTCTGGGTCCCTAATATAATACGGCACCTGTTATTTAGGGTACCCAAAAAGGGACGCCTATTTTGACAACTACCCACTTATAAGGGTTATATAAGGCTTCAGGTGTTAGGGTTTGGGGCTTCGAGGTTCGGGTACCATAAGGCTGGGCACATAGTAACACAATCCCAAGAGTGTCTGGGTCGACCTTGGAATGGCTGCGTATGGGTAGCGATTGGCTTGAAGGCTCTGATAGTATTTCGGATATGAGTGCGACACGATTTCGACATTTGGGGCATGGAGCCGTTTGTCTCAAGCTGGATCGTTCGGGCGTTCGGGACTGTGCATCTGATTTTTCAGCTCTCAGGCTTCCGGCTGGGCTCTTCGCAGGAAGGTCTTAACCGAAAAGTCTCCACCATTGAACCTAATCCCTGGCATGGCCTGGCGGCCAGACTTGCAACAGCTGCCCGCGGGTCATGGCTTGGACTTAAAGCTTGTGGTCTTTGGTGTTTGGTCTCTGGGCTAAGGGCTGTGGCTGTAAGGTGTACGTCTCGTTGTCGGAGGGAAAGGGGCTCTTATACGGGCTGAGGACGTAGAGGTTTTCGTGCGTCGCTTTACGATCTATGTCTTTACGTCTCAGGATGTGGATCATGGCCTGCAGAGATTCACTCCGTGCCATGCAGACATTCAGTCCTGCGGCATTTGTCTTTGCTGCCTCTTGACATCTGGAAGTTTCCGCAAATACGGGGTAACTTTTTGTTGGGGGTCCTTATAATAAGGGTCCTACTATTTAGGGTACTCTGTTAGAGTCCCCTATTTTCGGAAACTCCCATCTGGAGTGAGAGCCAGTGCAAAGCTCCTAGCGTCAGGGGTTTGGCGCGCCCAGCCGTGAGAAGCGACCCTGAAAACCAACAGCATCGTTCCAAAGGTTCTCTATCCAACAGCGATATTCCTTAGAATCTGCGAGACTAGCATTACGGGAAGATCTCCTTGGATACTAACGAGGTGTCGCTGCTTGCACGGATCTGTTCTTTGCCGCTGCGACCCCACAGTTGCACAGAAGTCGAAACCTGGGCTTAGTTACTTTTCTTTTCGACGATGACTCTGAGAAAAGTGGGACGACATCAAGATGCTTTCTACTCCCATGGATAGTTCAACAGAGAAGCATAGCTGGCACCATTTTGGGATCCGTCTGTGCTGGTGCATACATGCTGGCCTTTGTCAGCGTGACTTGCTAAAAGCAGATGAGAACTACGAGGTTCAGGAAGGATCGCCCGGGATTATGCGCGAAAGCTCATCCACATGCGACGGCTCGACCTGTGACCCCACAATCTGCTTGTACCAGCGGTTAATGCGCGGAAGGTCGGACAAGTTGATGGTGCCCTGGCCCGCAAATGCGATGACGCTCTGGTTGCCCATAATTTCCTGTGAACCCCTACATACCCTTCTAGACTCTCGGCCCTGGATATAGAGAAAGAACCCTGCCAGCAGCCTTCTAGAGATCTGGAGAACCCTTCCAGCAACCTAGAAGTCATACAGCAACCCAGTCCCGTGCCAGCTTCTCCACTTGCTCCTTCTTGTTCGATTCTCGGCTCTCCTCCCGGCGGAAGATCTCCTCCTGCTGCTTCAGCAGTTCCTCCTGGGGTCGCAGCTTGTCCTGCAGTTGCTGGATCTCCTCCGTGTGCATATCTCCTGAGCCACCACTCACAGGAACTACTCAGAAGGTAATATAGGAATGAGAATAGGGTTTTGGTGCCCGTTGTACCAGAAGAGGAACCCCAAAATTGTATTGGTACTTATTGAGTCCCCTATGGTATTCCCAAAGTATGCGACAAGTGCAGGAAAGGACTGGAGAAAATGTTCTGCTGCAGGCCATGCCACTGGTGTAAGCATAGGCAATGATACTTCCAAGCCGGTACCTGGCTGGCACTTCTGCAAAGGCTCACAAAGACTCAACACCTTCCTTGAAGTGTGGGTCTCTCAGAACCCTTAAACCTGAACCCTAGCCGGCCGCCAAAGCAACACATCGAAATTCAGGGGCCTATCTTATTGTTACTGTAATTACTAGTTCACTAGTACTAGTATCACTATTCATAGTACTATGACTACAATTCTGCTTTTCTAAACAACAGATGGTACTAGCACTACCATCATTGCTTTTCTTACTAACAACCTAAACGACCTAAACCCTAAACCCTAAACCCCTACACCTAAACCCTACACCCTAAACCCCTAAATCCCTAAACCCTAAACCCTATATCCCCCCTGAAGATCGGCGATTCGGACGACGCCTAAACCCTAAAAGAAAAAATCCCCCCTGAAACGACGTTTGTGTCTGTGACCCCGGCCTGGGAACCGAGCCGGAGTCGCATCTCACATCGATGCGATACCTGCTCCGCAGCCAATGCTTTGAGGTCTTGAGGGGTCTAGGGTTCAGGGTTTAGGGTTTAGGGTATATAGGGCTTAGGGTATGTCGTATATGGGGTTTAGGTCTTGGGGATCTCATGGCGTCGTAGAGGGCTCCGCCCTGCCATGTGCTTGCTCATTTGTTGTTCGAAAGGGCCGGTTCAGGGTTTGGGCCTCTGCACGAGCCGCGGGGAGAAAGGTTTCGTACATGAACTTCCAAATGCGCGTCCGAGGTACTCTCGGAAACCCCCGAGTCCCGAAAGTTCTCGGCCTTCAGAATCGTATTTAGGGTTTAGGGTTTAGGGTTTAGGGCCTTCAGAATCGTATTAGGGTTTGGGAGTTTTGGTGCATATCAAAAGACGAACTAGGAGGTGATAGGATTACCAATCGCTATTTGCTTCGAACCCCATAGTACATGGAAGTGCACCATCCTTCGCGACGAATTTTCGAGCTAGAAAATTTGTAGTTCGGTTGTGGGAGCCTTACCGGCTTTAATAGGATTGTGAGAAGTATCCCATTAAGGAGCCCGACGCAATCATGCTTGGTATCTTCGGCCCCTATATTCAATATTCGGCGCGTCGGCGAGCCTGCTCTTCTCCCACTTGTCCCAGGAAACTGTGCCACTGGTCTGATAGGTCTTGACATCGCGAATCGGCACTGCGCTTTGGATAGTAACGGTCTTCCATCCCCACAGGTGCCACAAGTAAACATCCTTCCGTTCGATCTCACATAGATCCGAGTTGTCAATATGGGCAAGGCGTGTTCGCAACGGCAGTACCTCTTGCTGGTGCTTTCCAATCTTCTTGACCACATCGGTTAAATGGCAAATGACATCCGCGAGCTCGCCTACGATTGACGGCTCAGCACATGATCTGGGCATGAAGGGGTTTGGGTTTTGCATACATTACGCTTAGGCTTGTATGGAAGCAATGCTACTTAATCATCACCGCTGGCCCCTTGCTACACTTACCAGCACTGTCGTGGGATTACAGTCACTAGCAGCAGCTACTAGCAGCAAACACAAAATCATCATCAGCATCATCATGATAATCATCATCATGATGACCATCAGCATCATCCAGATCAGCATGGTCATCAGCATCAGCATCTTCGTCACCCACAACATAAACATGGACATTAACGTTAACATCAACATCATCGTCCTCATACTCATCACTACCAAGATCATCGTAAGTGTCATGTTCATGCTCATAACCGCCAGTATCGTTAAATTGCCACTAAAGCTGCTACTGCTGCTGCTACTGCGTCTCTTGCTGCTGCTACCACTGCTACTACTCGTACTTTTGCTACTGCGGACGACGACTGCTACTACTGCTACCGCTAGAGGCTTCTGTTCCTAATCCTGGCGCCGTTTTGCTACTACTTCGACTGCGACTACGACTATAACTGTGAACACGACTGCCACGACTACAGCCGTCTTTGATACTGCTTACTACTATTCCCATTACCGCAGTGTAAGTCCGAGTCACTCTTGGCTTGTTGAAGCGTGTGTTCGCGGGCCTTCAGAGCAGCATCGCCACTGGCCTTCAACTGCCTATCAATCTCAAGCATTGCAGGAGTCTTATTGAACTGCAAGTTGCTGCAATCCAGCCGGGGCATCATCAAAATGTTAGCCACCAAGGCATCAACACTCTGGATGGCCAGTGCCTTTCTCTGCTGGTGGTGGGCCATGCTGTCGCGGTTCCCTTCGACCTCGTCCTCCCATTTCGAGTCAATGAAGATGTGCTTCACCTGCTTGGCTTCCTCCCCAAACATGTCTTCGAACTCATGCACGCGGGCTGTCTGCTCGTCTACATCCAGCAATAGCATGGACCATTTTGTATGGATCATAATGAAATTGCGGCGATGGTCCTTCAGCCAATCCCACAAGTACAGGAAAGATGTCTTGAATGATGAATCATATGCCATGCCCTTTCCAATGACGAATATGATCGAAGAAATCTGTCCAAGCTGGGCAAGTTCGCCAGCTATCTCTTCGAAATGCTGCTCGTCAATACCAGCGCCTCTGCTGTCCTTGTCCCCTGGGCAGTCCAGGAAGTTGACCCGAAACGTATGCTTCCCGCACACTGGCTTTGCCATGTAGGTATCCAAGTAATAGTCCCGCGAATCCCTGTTGCCGCCTTTGAAAATTCTCATCAATTCCGACATAGCTTTCTGGCCTGGCCTCATTCCACAATCCCTCTTGCGAACCGTCTTGCAGCTGATGCTACTTACCTGCAACGGGTACTTGGTGACAGTCGCCGTAGTGGACAGATTCCCTCGTCCAACTTGCAATGAATCTGGCACTTGGTTGTTGTTGTAAAGCCTATGCAAAGCTCTCAACAGTTCGGACTTCCCGCCTGTGGTCGGTCCCACAACTATGGCGTTTCGCTCCTGGTTGGACAGCTCTCCTTTTGAAGGTGTTTTGCAATCGTCCTCGTCCCAATGCCAATGGATAATGCTACCAGTGTCATATGAGTCATCTTCCTCGCTGTCTGCCAGGAGACCAGTTCCGGATGTTCCAAGGCCGACTGCAGCTTCCCCTTCCTTTTGGCCCTCCTTGTATACGGTTCATAGTTACTGGTCAAGAGTTCAAACGTGCTCGGAACTGTTAACAAAGTTGTTTGGCAAACGCAGCTTTCGATAGCTGGAAAAAGCATTGCGCGAACAATTAAATGGACAGTCACTAACCAAGACTCTGCTTTTCCGTATCCGCTGCCCGAGCTGTGCTGGGCCTCATTGGCAACTTCCCCGTCATGCTCCTGATGTGGTTCAGCGCAACTGGCAAACATGAAGGCTAGGCTGCTGGGGGCGGATTGCCCGGGAGATGTCTGCAGTACCCGAGCAAAGGTCTCGAGCCTGTAGTGCTATACACTCATGCCGAAGCACATCACTAGCTTGTCGTTGACACGGCAGGCTGCAAAGGAGTACTGTAGGCGCCTTAATAATTAGAATAGGGTTTTGGGGCCCATTCTACTATAAATACAATAAGGAACCCCCACGACGGTATAGGTAATTATTTAGGCGCCTATGTTTAACCCTAGGATCTGCATGCTAAGGACTGTAACGATGACGGGGTTTCGAGGCATCGTGATCTCAAATGTGCACCAGATGTGACGTCAGCGTGATTATGCAGACCTTGTGATTCGAAGACTTTCAGCTGCTCTTTACAGTCAAAACCTCAAATCCTGACAAAACCCCTAAGCAGTCTTCAGTGGCATGCTATGCTTGCTGAGGGCGCCAATATTGGGCAGCCACGGCTTCCCTCGGCCGGGGCTTCAAGTTCCTGCTACTTCAGCTTGATTAACTTTTTTCTCGTTGGCCGATTTTGGAGGGGTTGCGCAGCAGAATGTTCGAGTCCCTCTGCTTTTCGGACCACCACCCTGCCCCTGTTCGGCTTGGTACTTCAACAGGGCCATGATCTGAAGCTTCGAGAAGGCTGAGCTTCGTGAGCAGCATGAGCAAGTTAATCTCAGGGCGTGGGAAACCCTAAAACCCCTGAACCCTAAACCCCTAAACCCTAAATCCGTAAACCAGCTTTTTGACCCTTGGTTTCATGGGGCTTAGTATTGCGAAGAGCGGTCTCTAGGGTTTTAGGTTTAGGGTTTAAGGTTTAGGGTTTAGGGTTTTAGGGTTTAGGGTTTAAGGTTTAGGGTTTAGGGTTTGGGTCGGGTTTGGGGTTTATAGAGTCTACCTAAACCCGGAATGACCTACCTTTTTAAGGACTTATATAAAGAAATCATAATAAGGAACCCTAAACAGGTAGGTTAGCCAGGGCAAAAATCCCCCCACGCTTGCTGAGTGCTGGAATTGTTCTCAGCTCCACGATGGAGTAATTCCCTCAAACCGCCCTCTAGCCAGACCCGAAAGACAGAAACATCCCTGGATCCTAAACCCCCAAACCCCCAAACCCCTAAAACCCTAAACCATAAACCCTTCAGGTAAATTTCAGGAAACCCGGCCAAACTCAAAGCCCTCCATCGACCTTTGCGATTTGCATGCCGCTGAGTAGAGCTACTGCTGTAGGGTTTAGGGTTTATACGTTTCGGGTTTAGGGCTGTAGGCCAGTAGACTGAAAAGCCGCTGATCACTCCTTGCAAAAACATTCAAAAGTGCTCATCAACCCTACTTGCCCGGGCACTGCAAACCTGCCTTGTTATGCCTCTGGCGATGGCTTTTGCGGGCTTCGGTCACATGCGCACAAAAAACTCCGAAGTGTCAGATAGCAGAGAAGCGCTAGACCCGCAACAATTTAACAGCCTAAACTCCGCATCCCGGATTTGGCCCGTGCATCGCAGGTAAAGGGCCTAGAGTTCAGGTTTGAGGGCACGTTTCGAGTATGCCTGGGTTGGGGTGTTGCACCCAATCTTTTTAGGATGCGAACTTGGCACCATCTATAATTGAGGTCAACGTCAAGCCCCACACCCGGAATCTTAAGCTTAGGCCCTAGAGTTTTTGCGGCTCGAAGCTGTCGATCTGTCTGATTCCCCGGGGCAGGTCTTCCGCACTCAGCCGGCAAAACTGGACGTCGCGGGTCTCACCGGCAGAGAGCCCAGTAGCTGAATATACTCTCGGAGATCGCTGGAGGACAGTTGCTTGCCTAAGTAGCTGGTTGTCAAAATTATGGTCCCTGTTTGGGTCCTTATTATAATACGGCACCTACTATTTAGGGTACCCAAAACGGGACCCTAATTTTGACAAACACCAAAGTGGGTAGCAGTGCATCGCTGGAGGGCTTCGGGCAGGGAAACTTTCCCTAGCATTCCGGCTTGGAGCTCAAAGAGATTTGGGAGATTCCGAAAATTAGGGGTACCTTATTTGGGGGTCCTTATAATAGGGGTCCTACTATTTAGGGTATTATATCAAGGTCCCCTATTTTCGGAAACTCCCATTTAGGACCACAGAAAAACAAAGACTTGTGCTGCCGGGTGGCCAACCGCTGCCTTGTACCACTCATGTACAGCTCCCAGTTGGTCGAGTCGCAGTTCCTGCATTGAAGCGACTCGACTCACCAAGGTGTTCTCCTCAATAAGTTTGTTCAGGCCTTCCAAGACCTCCTTTGCATACTTTTCAGCATCTTGCTTGTGTCGCAGATCCTCCTGGTCCTCCTTGATTTTTGCTCTGATCGGCTCCAGCTCAGCCTTGATCTGCTCAATTTCGGCAGCATGAACGTGTCGGCTTGCTCCATAAACAACCAAGCTGCCCATGTAGAATGTTGGCACCAAGCCGGTGTTGCAGGTCACTTGGACTGAAAATACCTTGTGGTCCCAGTCTGTCCAACTGATGCGGAACGTGCCATCGGTCGTGACAACGTTGCTGATAGGCACCCTGGTCTCTACTCGTACGCATCGCCAGCCCCACAACCAATAAATCCAAGCTTCCTTCCGAGCAATCTCAACATCGGTGTCGACATCAATTGCTTCAAGTCTGCACATCAAGGGTGCCGTGTGACTCTCACCCTCCGCAACCCGCCTGGAGATTTCTCGCATTTCTTTGTTGAGTACGGCAAGATCTCTATCTGTGGTGTCAAGGGTTGCCTGCGCAGCATCTAAAGCAGCCTCTGCCCCGGCAATCAGCTGCCTGTCCACTTCATGCATCCGCCGTGTCTTCCTCGGTCCCCTTCTATCCCCTGCAGAATACGGAAGTATGTACACTAATATTAAAATTTGATAAAGTGTGTATACGTCTTCGCATAAGAATAAGTATACGTCTTCGTTGTAGAAAGTGTTCGTGTTCGTATTCGTACTAGCTTCGCACTATTCGTAGGCTATTCGTCGCGTATTTGTAGTCATCTTTGAAATAGTATTACTATTCAATATGCATTCTTTTTAGTAACTATTAGTAGAGGCACTAGTACTGCTACGAATACTACTAGTACTAGTACCACTACTGCTACTACTACTACTGCCACGACTACTACTACGACTGCTACTACAACTGCCACTACGACGACTACTACTACTACTACGACTACTACTACTACTACTACTACTACTACTACTACTACTACTACTACTACTACTACTACTACTACTATACTACCACTGCTACGACTACTACTACGACTGCTACTACGACTGCTACTACGACGACGACGACGACGACGACGACTACTACTACTACTACTACTACGACTACGACTACGACTACGACTACGACTACGGCTACGGCTACGGCTACGGCTACGGCTACGGCTACGGCTACGGCTACGGCTACGGCTACGGCTACGGCTACGGCTACGGCCACGGCCACGGCTACGACGACGACTACTACTACTGCTAGTAGTTTTGAACATTGATCAGAATATTCATGGTAGTAATCGTATTTGTACAAACTATTAATGATGCTATTACTGTAAAAATAGCAGTAGGATAGGTATGAGTGCTTTTATTACTATTTTATTAATATATAAGTGTTAGTACGAGTAGCAGTGTTAGTATTAATATTAGCAACAGCATTAGTAGTTCAATTGCTGCAAATATGAGTACGAGTCTTAGTATTAGTCTTAGTATTAGTATTAGAAGCACTGACAGTAGTATGATTATTACGTACAAGTATGGACAGTAGTATGATTTGCACTTGTACTACTATTATTGCTATTCCTACGATGATTTCGAGGAATAACAAACAAACCGGAATCAGTGATACTACCACCAATATTACTGATGCTTCTTCTTCTGCTACGACTACGACTACGACGACTACTACTGCTGCTACTACTACTACTACCCCTGCTGCTGCTGCTACTACTACTACTACTACTACTACTACTACGACGACGACTACTACTACTTCTACTACTACCTCTACAACTACTACTGACTGCTACTACTACTACTACTACCACCACTACGACTACGACGACTACGACAACTACTACTACTACTACTACTCCTACTACTACTACTACTACTACTGCTCCTACTAATAATCTAATACTACTATTACTGATTACTGCTACTGCTACTGCCACCATTACGGTTATCGTTACAATTACGACTCTTGCCCTTACGCTTACTCTTACTCTTGCGCTTACTCTTGCTGTTACTCTTACCTTGACTCATACTACTGCCGCTACAACATTGATGATGATACTGGTAATGACAATGGCTATGACTGCTATGACTATTACAATTGTTACCACTATGACTATTGTCTTTTGTGTTACGTACTACTATCATTATATTGCACTAATACTGGATCATACTGGATCATTATGACTGAGCCTTATTTAGTGTCGCTGCTGCCTGTCTTCAACATTATTTATTACAAAGGCCGCAAGATAGCATAACAATAACAGGCTACTGCTGAGGGACCTAGCTTCCTGAAGGGGAGCATGGCACAGTCAATGTTCGACGCGAGTGCAATCTCAGTGATCAGCGCATTCATGCTGTTTATGGCCAATGCTTTCTTCTGCTGGTTAAATGCCATGCTGTCACGCTCCCCTGGATCCTCATCCTCCCACTTCGAGTCAATGAAAACTTGCTTTACCGTGTCGATGTCAGTGAATCCGAATACCTCCGAAAACTCTCTTTCGCGCGCGGCCCTTTCTCCTTCGGCGCCAGGCTCTAACATGGACCACTTGGTGTGCACGATGATGAAGTGGTTGTGGTAGTTCTTTAACCAGTCCCAAAAGTATTTAAAGGACTCTTGGAAGGACAGGTCATACGGCATACCCTTTCCAATGACGAAGATCACAGCTGCCAACTTTCCCTTTCGGGCCAACCTGACCGCAATGTCGGCCATGTGATCCTCATTTTGCCCTTGCTGTCTCTATCACCAGGACAATCCA